AGTCCGAGAGAGTCTTGGGGCGAGCCTTGAGGCAGTCCAGTCTTGGGCTAGCCTTGGGTCAGCCTTGTGAGAGTCTTGGGGATTTTTCCCCAGGGCGCTGTGTCTGATAGAGTGCTCGATTGACCGACTAAGACGAGAGCTGAAACGTATTTCGTTGTGTGTGCCTTATTTGACTGTAAAGTTAAAGTGACTTTCCCGATCCCGTACCTCAAGGGGACGAGATAGAGAGACGAGACGAGTTTCCCCCCTGACAAGTGTGGAGAACCCGAGAGAAAAAGAGATTTTACCCCTGATACGTGGTGTGAGAACCCTGGGCATTGCGTCTTACGCACATTGACATCCTGTGAAGAGAAGTGAAATGACGAAGAGGTGTCTTTCTTGTGAACTGAACTAACAGCTCCATGGCAGAGACGACTCGGAAACCGCGCTTGACGACTAACATCGTTAACAGTATGGCACCGATGAACGACGCTGAAGAGATGAAGACCTCTGAACCCCTTATGAAGGATGAGTACCGGATAGGACTGTATAATTAAGAATTGAGCGACATTAAAGACAAGAAGATGAAAAAGAACGACCCGGACTAACGCGACAAGAGAAGAGACGCTTATAGACTTTGACTTTAGCTATCTGTGTATTGCTTAGAGAACCGCTCATTGGACACTGTAACTGACACTGTGTAACTCAAGGACGTTGAACTCTTTTCCAGAATCCTAACCCTATTGCTCAGTAATGTAATGTATTGTTTGCTTTTTCTATCTTTTTTCTTACCGTTTTTTGTGATGTCGAATTGTATGTATGTAAGCGCCCAGATCTTTGTTTTGAAATGATATTTAGTGACGTTCGAGGTCCTTTATAACGATTTAAGCGCGTTTCAGTGGACAAGTATTTGCAACACAGTGTTTTGAGTTTTGTGAAGTTTCATGGTGTTTTAATGAGTTTATGAGTACGGATTATGAGGGGGAGAGTGATGCCCCCCACGAGTTTTTTTAAGAGTTTTGAGATTTGTCGAGTACAGAGATACCGACGTTTTAAGAGTTGTTTTTGTTTATGTGTTGTTTCCGGAATACTTCTGACGCTTTTTTGAGTTTAGAGCACCTTTGTAACGTTTTTTTATGTCTTTTTGGGATGGG